TGCTTTGGTGAAGAAAAAGAAGAAAAGTAATTAGCAATTGGAATTCTTAAGTACTTTCATTCCATGTCTAGGTCACTTCTAATTTTTTTGTTTATGGGTTGAGATCATTATAAATCATGTTTTTAATCCATTATTCAGAATAAACATGACCAGTTCTGTTCTCTGCGCCTTTAGAAATGGTGAACTCACACCACTTCCATGTGATAGCTAGCCTCTACTTGAATATGTGCACCTGAACCTTAAAAGACAAAAAGCAATTAATTTGGGGGGGGTCTGGGATCTGGTAGTGGGGGTTCAAACACTCTTGCTTTTTTGCTTTTAGTTTGCTTTTTAGATAGGGTCTCATGCTTTTGCCTAGCCTAGCTTTGGACCATGATTTTTCTACCTCCACCTCATGAGTAGCTGGGACCACAGGCATCTACCACCAATCCAACCCTCAGGACAGTGAATTTAAATTCTTACTTTTTTACTTGTGACCTTGCTTGTCAGTGTCTTGTGAGTTCTAGGAGTAAATAGATGAAGTGTGTGGGAGTGCCCATACATGGTGAAACATTCGAGAGGATTTACTTCTTTCCAATATTCAAAGGGCTGGGGTCACGGCTCACATGGTAGAGCACCTGCCTAGCAAGCACAGGCACTGAGTTTAAACACCAGTATGGCAAAAACCAAAACACAAAAGCAGGAACTCTTGCCATCTTTTCAGAACAAAGGCACACAGGCCTCTTGTCCCCATCAAAAAGCAAGTTAGTGAACCCTTATGAGATAGATATTTGAGAGGGAGAGCAAGGGAAAGACTCACTGCATAAGTGAAGAATAAGCCAATAGATAATACTGAATACTAAGTGTTTGGCACTGTGCTAGGTTTAAGTTGTGATGTCAGTCAACAGATATTGATGAATCAGAATTGATGCATCAGTATTCCCGTCCTGAAACAGGTAAATAAGCCATTGCCTCCATAGAGTGATTTCAGGTACTGAAGATAAATGAAGTTAGAAGGTGACTGAATATTGCCTTAGCTGGAAATATCAGAATAATGGAATGGAATAAAAACTGTGGATATAATAACAGATCAGACTTACTTGAATATACTAAGAATAAGAAGGAATGACTCATAGCGCTCAACTGTATCAGACTCAGTGTCCCCATTTTATAGCAAATATTTTAGAATTCCTACTACTGTTCTTAATGAAATTTATACAAAAGATCCACCAAAATTTCATGAAATTAAAAGCATGTGTATATGTTAAGATTCCACCTCACTCCTGTTAGAATGGCTACCATCAAGAACACAAACAACAATAAATGTTGGCGAGGATGTGGGGAAAAAGGAACCCTCATCCACTGACAGTGGGAACAGAAATTAGTATAACCACTACGGAAAACAGTATGGAGCCTCCTCAAAAACTAAGATCCAGCAATACTATTCCTAGGGATCTACCCAAAGGAATGCAAGTCAGGTTACAATAAAGACACCTGCATACTGTGTTTACTGCGGCATTATTTGCAATAGCTAAGCTATGGAAACAGCCAAGATGCCCTACTGAGGACTGGATTAAGAAAATGTGATATTTATGTACAATGGAATTTTATTCAGCCACAAAATAGAATGAAATTTTGTCATTTGCAGGTAAACAGATGGAACTGGAGAACATGATCTTAAAAGAAGTTAGCCAGGTTCAGAAAGCCAAAGACCACGTTTTCTCTCATATGTGGAATATAGACCCAATACAAATAAATACAGGCAGTCTTATGAAAAACAGGTCACACTAAGGGGGGAGGCCACTACGAGAGAGAGAGAGAGAGAGAGAGAGAGAGAGAGAGAAAGTAGGAAGTTAAGGTGAATATGGTTGATGTACTTCCTGTACAAGAATGAATATAGAATTTTTAAACCTGTTGAAATCACCATAAGAATGGGATTAAGGTAGAAAGGAGAAAAGTAGAAATGAACCAATCAGGTTATAATACATATATACATGGAAATGTCACAAGGAAGCTCTCTGTATAGCTATCTTAAACAAACAAAAATGTCATTTTTTTTTCTTTTACAAAATCGGAGAATAGGAAGGCAGAACAGGTCTTGTCTGGGGGTTTGGTACCACTGGGAGGGGGAGAATGTGGATAAAGAGTGTAGGAGGGTGAATATGGTACAAATATTCTATACACATGCATGTAAATGGAAAAATGAGACCTGTTGAAACTATTCCAGGAATGGGGGGAGAGGGGATAAAGGAGAATGATGGAGGGGGTGAATTCAACTATGATAAATTTGATATATTGTAAGATTTGTAAATGCCACAGTGTACCTCCAGCACAAAAAAAAAAAAACCAAGCATGTGTATAGGTAATGCCTTAAATGTAGTACAGAGAAATAAAGTAATTTTAATATGTTTATAATGAAGTAATATATGTTTCATTGTATAAATTCTGGCTCTGACTGCATTAGGATTTGTGATGAAGTAAGCAGATGCTTAAACCACTACTTAGATTTGCTGTCAGTACACTTGCTATAAATGTGCAGTGATAAAGGTATACTGTGTTGGTTGCTTAGATGTCAGTAGTACTGCCATTGTTGATTTCTTTTGTGTTTTCACATAATGAACATTTTTCTCAAAGAATGACTACCTTTTTGTAAAATTCTGAACAATGCAAGGTATAATATTCCTTTAAATCACATTTCTAGCGTTCCTAGATGATTCAGTGTGTGTCAAAACTGTAGTTAAATGCTTCTGATTGTATGTAAGCAGTTAGGTTTTAGGTTCAGAGAATTATAATAGTCTTTTTCATTTCTTGACCAGGACATTCTAAAGAACATGAGTTATGGAAGAGAGAGACTATCATTGAATGACTGGAGTAAGTGGGGACTTGGAAAATGACCACAGTGTGGGAAAGGGTACTGACAAGCCCTTCAAAGGAGCTGGGGTTTAGGAGGGAGGAAGATTAGCTTGAAAGTATGGAGGGAAATGCGAACATCTGTCCCATCTTGAGACAGTGAGGAGTGTGGAAGAGGGAAAACCAGTCTCCATCTGAGACAGCTATAAGGGAAAAGGGCCTGAAGGCTGGAAATGCTTCATAAAGGATGTAGAGATTGTCACTGAGTACAGGAAATGCTTTGGGGTAGGAGGGTAAACATTGAAGGCACAGGTAGAAAGTCACCAAATTAGGGATGCTTTGTGTTTCTAAAATAAGATTTACAGGATGAGAGAAATAACATGAATTAATATAATTTAGGGCCACATTTAATGTTAGTGTAGTTGTCTTTGGATGGGAGAATAACTGGTAATCTGTTGTAGTAATCTAGTCTATAAGGGATTGATTAGAAAATTTGAAGTGAAATTGACTGGATGTTAGAGCTAAAGAAGCCCAGGTTGATGTTGCTTGGAAAATGGTAGGTCTTGTGGCCAAGAGCAGATGGAGAATGTAAGGGAGAGGTTTGAGTAGAGAAAGGTTCAGTTTTAAACAAACTGGATTTGAAGTATCTGTGGCCACATCCATGTTAAGGGGCTTTATAGCATTATGACAGCTATTATTTTTGTATGTATACTATGTGTTAGGTGTTATTAAAATTACTTTATAAAGTCTTTTGTTTCCTTTTTACAACATTCCGGTGAGGTAATTATTATCATGCTGATTTTATACTTGAGAAAGCTCAAAGAGCTTTTCAGTTTGCTCAGGGTTTCACAATTAGCTGATCAGGTATCAGAACCTGCTCAGGTCTTTAACCCTTCTTAATTAAGCACTGTGTTTTACTATAGTTTGTCTAGGTGTGGATTTGTGTTTTCTTGGACTTCTGATCTGAGAATTCTTGTCTGAGCAGTTATAGGAAATTTCATAGTCATTTTTAAGTTGCCTCTTAAAATTTTTCTTAGCCGGGTGCCAGTGGCTCACACCTATAATCCTTGCTACTTGGGAAGCAGAGATCAGGAGGATCGCTGTTTGAAGCCAGCCTGTGCAAATAATTCATGAGACTGTCTCGAAAGTACCTAACACACAGAAAAAGGGCTGGTGGAGTGGCTCAAGTGATAAGAGTACCTGCCTACCCCTGAGTTCAAACCCTAGTACCACCAAAAGAAAATGTTTTTTCTTTATTCTTTTGCATTCTGATTGGACAAATGTTATACTCTTTTTCTTTATGGCTCTTTACCTCTCCTGTAATTAATTAATTAATTAATTATTTACCACTTAAGCCATTCTGCCAGCCTCTCCTGTATTTTTAACTCTTGACTTTTTGGGTAATTTCTTTTCTTTTGTTTTTTTGGTGAGAATGGAGTATGAACTCAGGGCTGCATGCTTATAAAGCAGGCATCCACTGCTTGACTGGTGGACCTCCAGTCCATTTTTGCTTTAGTTATTTTGGAGATGGGGGCTCACTATTTGCCCAGGCTTACCTCATTCCACTATCCTATCACAACCTCCCAAGTAGCTAGGATTACAGGTGTGAGCCACCAGCACCTGGCTGTTCTGGTTAATTTCTTTAGGTCTGTCTCCTAGGTCACTGATTCTCTTTTGAACTATGATTGATCTACTATTTAACATATCTCATTAGTTTTTAGTTTCAGTGGTTTATTTCCATATGATCTATGTGGCTCTTTTTCAAACTGCCCTCCCCCTGAATTCACCATGTAAGCATAGTTATTTGTTGACTTGTCTATATATTCTTTTGGATTATAAATGCTGAGGGCAGGGCCCTTCAGTTACTAATAAGAACCATTTGCATAATGTGTGAATTGCATTATTAACTCAAATCCTGTTTTAAAGGCACACTTAAAAATACATTCTTTATTTTTCTTGACTTCTGAAACCAATCCTGAATATAAGTTCTGTTTGTTGGCTAGGGAGATCTTGTGCGAAAGCTGAAAGAAGATAAAGCACCCCAAGTGGATGTAGACAGAGCAGTAGCTGAGCTCAAAGCCCGAAAGAGGGTTCTGGAAGCAAAGGTGAGTGTTGGGATGCTGAAATAGGCACATTAGTAGTTGTAGAATTGTTCATCTTTATTTAAACTCTTTGGAAGGGAGGGGCCTGAAAAGTTCCTGAAGAAGTATCATTTGTTTTTATCCAGAATGACTTTTTCTTCCTCCTGTACTTGGCAGACTCCTCGGCCTTTCAAAGTACAACTCAAAATGTCACCTTTTCTATAAAGCCTTACTGACCTCTTGATTCTGTCTACCTCAATTCCCCCACTTCCCCCATCCTGAATTTCCTGGAAGATACTGTGCTTTTCTTTTTTTTTTTAACTCAGGGCCTACACCTTGAGCCACTCCACCAACCTTGTTTTGTGGTGGATTTTTTTGAGATAGGATCTCATGAACTATTTGCTTGGGCTGGCTTTGAACCGTGATCCTCCTAATCTTTGCCTCCTGAGTAATTAGGATTACAGGTATGAGTCACCGGTGCCAGCGACATTGTGCTCTTCTGTAAGAGTTCATCAGGGCCTGGAAGTAATGATTTTGTTGTTTTTAATTCATCTGAAAGCTACTCCTAGACCTTTTCAAATAGTAAACCTCCAGTTTGAAGTTTGGGTTTTTCCCTTTTTATTGTTTGTTTATTTTTGAGACAGGATCTTGCTACGTAGCCCAGCCCTACAACCCTGGTTCTCCTGACTTAGTGTCCCAAGCATGGGGATTACACAGTGAGCACCAGTTTGAAGTTGTAAAGTGACCATTTTACTAAAATTTAGGTATTGCTTATATTGCATGTCTGTATCTGCATCTAAGTAAGCTTAGACTGGCTTTTTTTGTTGTTTTGAGGGTCTTAATTGTGTAGCCCACTCTGACTCAGACTTGCAGTCCTCTTGCCTCAGCCTCCTGAGTGATGGCTTTGCAGGCATGTTCCACCAAGTCCAGCTACTAGCTTAGTCTTCTAATGTTGGAAATGATCTTTTTTTCTTCCATACTGAGGTTTGAACCCAGGCCTTCATACTTACTATACAGGTACTCTACCTCTTGAGCCACACCTCCAGCCCAGAAATAGTTTTCTGGGTTTTTTTTCTTTTTTGGTGGGACTGGTTTTCGGTTGAACTCAGGGCTTCAAGTGTACAAAGCAGGCACTCTACCACTTGAGCCTCACCTCCAGTCTATTACTCAGCTTTCAAAACCGTAATAAAATACCTGAGAGCAATCCATTTAAAGGAGGAGAGGGTTATTTGGCTCGCAGTTTGAGAAGTTTTGGCTATAGTCACTTGCTCTGTGTGCTTTTAGGCCTGTAGTGTGGCAGAACATCATGGTGGAAGTGCATGGGGACTCTGTTGCCTCATGGTGGCTAGAAAGCAGAGAGAGACAGAGGGAGAGGAGGGCCAAAGTCCCAATAGCCCCTTTAAGGGCGTGGGCCTCAAGACCTAATTTCTTTCCACTAAATTGTACCTCCTGAAGTTTCTCTGTCTCCTAATAGTGCCATTAGCTGGGGAGCTTTCCCGGGACGTTATGATGCAAATCTTTACAATACCTTTCCTCTTATTCACAGCAGAGGGGGAAACACAAACTAATGCCTCCACTTTTTTAACTTCTCAGAATCTTGTCTGGCAAATTTTATGTTAAATTCTGCTGAGGAATAAACTAAATTAAAATGTTGGCATTTAGTTCTCCAATCACATACTTTAAATTCTCTTACAGGAGCTTGCATTACAGCCCAAAGATGACATTGTAGACAGATCAAAAATGGAAGATACCTTGAAGAGGAGGTTTTTCTATGATCAAGCTTTTGCTATTTATGGAGGTAGGGAATTAATGAAGAATGATTGTGTGGTTAGTCACTTTAGTGTTATTCTTAGATCAAGAACATGGTTTACCCATTGCTATTTAATTGTACCAGCCACACAGAGCAGAGAAATTGTATATAGACCTGCTCTGTCTGTGGAGTTCCCCCATCCTATTGTTTCTTTTCCTTTTTTTTTTTCTTTAGTACTAGGGATTGAACCCAGAGCCTCAGGATTGATAGGCAAGCCCCAGCCCTGTTGTTTGTATTTTGTTTTTGAGATAGGGTCTTGTTAACTTTTTCCCAAGCTGGCCTCAAGCTCGTAATCCTGCCTTAGCCTCCTGAGTGCTCCACACCTGGCTTTCTCCTTTTTTTTTGGTGGTGGTACTGGGGTTTGAACTTAGGGCCTGGTGTTTGATAGGCAGGCACTCTATCACTTGAGCCACGCCTCTAGCCCTCACCCTGTTTATTCTTGAATACCTTTTCCCACTAAGATGTAGGGAATTGTTGGAGGCCCAGGTATTAAGTATTTGATTTGTCTGAGAATTTATACAATTATGCATTCTTATTAACATCCTGTGGAGCCTTGGGAGCAGTAGAAGGCCATTGTAGTACTGGCCAGCTGTGTTGTGCCCTCCCTCCAAGGGTGGTGTCAAAACACAGGCCTTAAATTATTCTAAATGAACATTTGTCAGGAGAAAATATTCTTCATAAGTAGGTTGATAAATCATGTCTTGCTGAATGCTGTAAGAATATACACACAAATATAGTTTATTTATTGAGTAAATGTATGTAGAGCGCTGTATTTCATAGTCAACGGAGATCATTACAACAATATTAGGCTGTTAGTACTTTACCTCTGAAACTTCATTTGGGTTTGGCTGAGCAGATCTCTATATGTTTAACTGCTTGAGGTTTAAATTGTGGCTCAAATACTCAAGAATCAATTAGAGAATGGGGTGCTAAAACTTTAGATCATTGTTCTCAGCTACTGTGGCAAGTTACTTTCCATGGCATAACACCGTAGTCTGCTTTTTCATTCTCTTCCCTGTATCTGGGGCAACTTTCATTGTTTGTAATTTTGGATTGATCCCACTTGAAATTACAAATATGAAAGTAGCAAATGGGGTAATTTTTTAAGTAAAGCTTTTGGTTGTTGAAGGATTTGAATTGTTGACTTTAAAAACCTGTGGCGAGTACGTGAAGTCCTGTAGCCATCAGCTCCTCATATGTCTCCTTGCTCTCTGTTCAGAGTAACAGCACAGTGCACACTTTTCTCTTGCATTTTACAGGGGTTAGTGGTTTGTACGACTTTGGACCAGTTGGATGTGCTCTCAAGAACAATATTATTCAGACCTGGAGACAGCACTTTATCCAGGAGGAGCAGATCTTGGAGATTGACTGCACCATGCTCACTCCTGAGCCCGTTTTAAAGTAAGACCCTACTTTGACGGGGAAGTCCTTTAACATGAAAATTTAAGTAACATTATGATCACAAAAACTACCTGTGTTCATTTAGAAGAAGATAGCCATGCTCATAGACAGCCATGTTAAAATTGTTTATCCTTTCACTTTTTTTCATATGTTCTTGTATATGTGGATATTCACAATACATTGCTTTTTTTCATGTGATGTAGGTGACCATTTAGTGTTGTCATTACAAATCTGTCTAAAACTTGTTTGTGTGTTTGGTACTGGGGCTCGAACTCAGGGCCCGTACCTTGAGCCACTCCATTAGCCCTTTTTTTGTGAAGGTTTTTTCAAGCTAGGGTCTTGCAAACTTGTCCAGGCTGGCTTCAAACCATGATCCTCCTGATCTTTGCCTCCTGAGTAGCTACGATTACAGATGTGAGCCACTAGGCCCGGCTGAAGCATTTTTAATGACTGCATGCTATTCCATTTTTATAAATGTGTCATAATTTAGTTAGTGCCATATCATAGCCATTTAATGTGTTTCTGAATTTTAACTGTACCAGACATCCTGAAAGGTAGATTTTTGTGTATGTCATCGATTATTTCCTTAGTATAAGTTTTTAGAAGTTCTGAGAAAAGGTGTCTATGCATTTTCAATCAAATTCTTTACTATTTGTATTGAACTTTCAATGCAGAAATGTAAGATTATTTCTACCAATATTGTTGAAAGTAGGGTAGGATTAATAAACATGAACTAGGAATATTTGCCACTTTGTATCTCTGATAAAGTAGTAATTTTTATTTTAGCATTCTCTAGATTCTCTTAATAATTTCAACCAATTAAGATAAGAGGAATTCCTGACTTGTTCCACTAATAGGAACTGTGTTGAAATAATACTAGTTCAGTATAAGTTCAGGGTTTGCATTTTTATAAGTTCTTGGCTCATCAAATTCCTAATGGTTTTGGCCTTTGTTTAGATCACTAATAATAATGGAGTAGGCATGGATTAATTAATCTTGAAATGTAGACAGGGTTTCTGACAAACTGTAAAAATGTATAACCTAGTGAATGTCATTTTCCTATGGGAAGGAAGTGCTTGGGAAATGATGAAAAAAGAATAGATTTGAAGACTTTTCTCTTGCATACATTACTATCTGTCATGGATACATGGTTATAGATTGGGACATTTCCATCTTTGAGATACACAGATATAAATTGTGGACAAATGTATTATAGGAGGATTGTCTTATGAGGTAATATCTATGTATTAATTTGCACAAGAATGACAAATTGTCTTGTTATTTGTTAACTTAGGACCTCTGGCCATGTAGACAAATTTGCTGACTTCATGGTGAAAGATGTGAAAAACGGAGAATGTTTTCGTGCTGACCATCTATTGAAAGGTATGGTTCTTCGTCTTGTTTAGGAGAGTTGATCAAAACAAAGGACTCAGGTTAAGCTTTTTTCTCAAAAATTCTCCATTTAGTTCTTATATCGGGGCATAACATACAAAGAGTAAAGCGCACAGATTCTAAGTGTTCTGGGCTGAGGATGTAGCTCAGTGATAGAGCATTTGCCTAGTATGGGTGAGGCCCTGGATTTGATCCTCAGTACCAGATATAGACACACAAGGATTTTAAATATGTCGGTCAAGTTCCTTATTTTAAAAAGTACATACAAGTTAATTATGTATAGATAGTTTTTTAATTAGCAAATGAACCTTGATGGTATTGTGTCTCTATAAAATCAATTGTGGATTCACTGCCTTATATTTGTCTTTAATTGTCCATCACTGGAAGTGAAAAGTGCATGGTCCTTTTCCTCACTGATTGAAATTGACATGTGTAAACACTTTCTTCTTGTAGCTCACTTACAGAAATTGATGTCTGATAAGAAGTGTTCTGCTGAGAAGAAGTCAGAGATGGAAAGTGTCTTGGCCCAGGTGAGAACTTAAAGACAATATCAAAGTATTTGTACATGGGTAGGGCTGTGTTGCTTTCTGTATGTGATAATTGTTCAGTTCTTCATTGTGCTGACCCTGGCCACAACTGTAAAGAAGCAGAGTTTACCTCTATCCCTCATAGCATCTGTTTACTTTTTAATTTTCTTCTCTCTTTTGTGACTAAACCTTTGTTTCAGCCAAAACTGACAAGTCAGTATAAATAGGCATTACATTTATTGCTCTTTTTGGAAAGCAGTTTTCTAGATTTAATAGCAGACACCAAAGGAATGACTGACAGTGAGTATTGTTCTGTGCTGGTGTGGATATTTGGGTCTGATGGATACAGCCATTAGTCTGGTTGGACTGTTCCTGACTTTGTGCTATTATTCGTAGAACCTCATGAGCAGACTCCTGCTTTTCTTTTCTGGCCTTGTTTTCCCACTTTACCTAAAGTTTTATAATTTGTATTTAATTTGATAAGTTTAGGAATGGCAAAAATTCATAAAGATTATTGATTCTGACCCTTACCAAGTATCAGAATACCTTCTATACAAGAAGTAGCCCTTAATCTTCTCTTTGGATCACAAACCACTTTAAAAATACAATGAAGGAGCCAATAATGTAGCTTGCCTGGTAGGCCCTGGGTTCACTCTCTAACATGGCAAAAAAAAAAAAAAAAAAAAGAATATCATGGGAACTGACTGGGCATGGTGGTTCACTCCTATAATCCTAGGTGCTTGGGATACAGATCAGGAGGATTAAGGTTCAAAGCCAGCACAGGCAAAAAGTTAGCAAGACCCCATCTTAACTAATAAAAAGCTGGGTATGGTGGTGCATGTCTGTCATCCCAACTACAACATGGGAGTTATAAATAGGATTTTGGTCCAGGCTGGCCTCAAGTATAAACTTGAAACTATTCAGAAAATAATGAAAGTAAAAAGTGCAGAGGTGTGGCTGAAGTGGTAAAGTGCCTGTCTGGCAGCACAAGCTCCTGAGTTCAAACCTCAGCATTCCCCACACCCCCCACCGCCCCACGCAAAAAAAAAAATCATGGAGACTGCTGCATGACATCTTCTTAGGAAGATGCATCTCTGTGTGTGTGTGTGTGTGTGTGTGTGT